CGCATTCTGGGACAAGTTCCTTTCATTTATATTTTCCTCCTCCCCCTTTCCCCTCTACCGCACTGGCGTGCTCTACTTGCTCATATTCTGACATGTGCTGACTCTATATGATCGCACGCGTGCTCGTTAGCGTCGCCGGCGGATTTGCATATTTCCCATAGTTGGAATCGATACCTCGGATAGCAATACCCTTCGCGTAAATGCTGACGATATGGAAAATACGGCATCGATGAATATTCCGTATAACGTTGCTTAAATCCATAGATTTTGAGGGATAGACGGATCACGTTTATTTCCGGACACCCGTAGTTTTCGGATCACCAAAGAGAGAAACGCGTGAGTTGATGTGCAACCTTCGCGGATGCATATACGCGCGGGATTTATCGAGCTATATATATATATTATAATGGTTCCCGTATATTAGAAATGTGTAAATCTTCTTTAGAGCGCATAGACGTAGCCGTCTACACCGAAGAGAATGAGAGAAATAAAACTTTCATGTAAATCTCATTAATTTACTTTATTTCTCTTGGTCTCGAAAGAAATCACATCGGGAAATCGCATCAAGACTGTCTCCTATTTAACATTTTTCATTTATTACATTGTATATTTAAATTAAGAACGTGAGAAATAATATTTTAAAATCATGTTAAAATCATATAATAGAATAAAAAATTATTTGAAAAATATCCGACACAGCCGCACCTACCTCTACAGAAAATTTACAACGTCTGAAAATTTAACACAATACGCAAAACGCATGCGTATTTTTCTTCTCTATCGTTTCTCCGTCATATATAATTTATATTACCGTTATATTGCAATTTCACCTACTCTATCATGAATTAAATAATTCTGTATGATTTTGTCATGTATGTTTGAAGCCTGATTTTTATAAATAACGCAATCGCATGCAATTATGCAATTCTTTCAGCTACAAATCGAACTGCGTCGCAACTGCTGCACGATTGTTATTATCCTCTTAGTAGATGAATACCTCGCAATTATGCAAATCGCTACTCCACACATTGCTATTTTATGTAACCGTATATATACTTTTGCTTGTTTTTCCGAATCTAACGATGGCATATCTGTTCTTAATACACCGACTTTTCATTACAGTTCAATCGATAGCTATTACCATTGTTTGTTGCACTCCAATATACGCCGAATTGTGTAATATTGTTATTTTCCATACATAGCTAATCGAAAGATGGAATATTACAACAACTGTGACGTAATGACATTTATGAAAATCAATGAATTCGAGGCAATAAGATAAATTTTTCGATCATCTATATTGTAACTGCCTGAAATATTTAATATATCACTTAATAAAGGATAAGTATTAATTAATTCCCGTCTCGACAAATGCATGTTTTTCACTTATATAAGCGTTCCATTCTCCTATTAATTAGTGTCAAGGCTTTTTTTTTACAGCACTTTTATTGCAACTTCAGACCTACAAAAGGCAAGAAAAGGCAATTCGATGCAATTTTTACCGTTAATTTACTATGAAAATTCTTAAAAAAATTCTCTCACATTTTCTCCAACAATACAGTTAACACGAAACTTCGCTCATATTTCTCAGCAGATTTTATATTTATTCCTTTTAGAATTTTAACGCCAAGAGAGCCATCGGATTGCGATCATCTTCGAAAGTATTGTCAAACAAAAATTGATTGAAATTTCCACTTACTCGGTTTACATTATTGTCAAAATTAATATTAATATTATAGTACAGAAATGAAATGAGATTAATGTAAAGGCATGAGGAATTCTAAAGAAGCCGGCAAAAATCGAGGAGCGTAGACTTGTTGGTTGTGGAGATGGCTTGGATGAAGATGCTTGTTGCCTACGGTCGCCCAATTGGATTTGACTCTTCGTCAATGGATAAAGAGAAGCGTGCACGTGGAAGTATGCGCGAGCGAGGCGACAATTCCACGAGCCGCAATAATCGGCACGGGGGCAGGCGAGCGAGCGAGCGAGCGAGCGAGCGAATGGTGACTTAAGGAGACACACCGCGGAGAGATAAGGTACGGCGAAACAAGTGCGATAAGCCGAAATGAGATAGCGTCGTCGCGGCTAGTCGTCGTCGACGATATCTCAAAGTCAATGTCCTATGAAGGACTGGTGCGAGGCACTCGAGCGCGCTCGCATAAGCTTTTCTGATCGCGCGAGTGTCGTTCTCCCCTTCTCACCCTTTATTCTCTCTCTCTCTCT